AACAATACGTAGCAGATAAAAACTCAACATTTAAATCTGGAGACATTAAAATTCTTTTTAAAGAAGTAATATTATTAATTTCTCCAGAAAAATGGAAAAAGTGTATCGACCATGTTCGCCAAAAAGTTGAAGTAAAAATGTGGGAGTTGGATAATATTATAGAGGTTCAGGTAGAACCACTTGTAATTTTGATTAATGAAGATAGCCTTTCAAGTCTAACTAATTTATCCGATTCAGAATAGTGCTAAGTCAAGTAAGGAAGATTGCTATAATACAGGGTACAAGTTGTCTAATCTAAATACTAGTAGAACAAGAACAATAAAGAACAAAAGTTATCAAAAATACAAAAGGTTTCTTATTAAGATGCACAATTTTAAATCAAATACCAAATTCAAATACCAAATACCTCTTATATTTAAAAATTTTTTAATGCTTTTAGTAGATATATATTAGCTATTAAAGAATTTGCAAGTATTTGGACACCCTGTACAATATAATTTTATAATATGATTGTTTTAATGATCTGTATCACATTAGACATATGTAATGAACTAAATATAATGCAACCATCTCTTTTAAAGTCAAATACATTTATTAATTTGTATTGCAGGTTAACGCAGTTTATGTCGCTCACCTATCTTCGTCCAGAAATGTCACTAAAGTCTGGGAAACCGTGTATGGCATTTATTTTATAGTTTTACTTTACAAAATATGTTTTTATCGTAATAAAAAAATAATTTCACAATTACACTCTTTTATTTTACATTTTTGCAAGACGGAAAAGTAAAATACGGCCCTGCTCAATTTTAGCGTCCACCTACTTCTGTTTACATCAGGCGTAAATTAAATTTGAATAGACTTTAGATTTCGAATTTGAATATTTATTATCTTTTATTAATATATATTTCAAAACTATTTATTTGTTTATGAGCATGATAAATACAAGTTAATTGTTCCCCTTCTACATCCTCGAAAACCTGCATGAAATAAAATATTTAATTACATCTTTTGTTTATTACCGTTTTAGTTTAGTTTACTAACTGACAAGAGGAAAATATTAAATTATGAGTTTATACTTAGCGAGAAAAGAAAGTAGCTTCTACTGTTAGGTATAAATATCCTTTTCACAAAGAACTATCTGGTGGTATTAATCGTTGGGTGTGTTCAGTAAGAGGAACTAAAATTTGTACGGCCTACTTGAAGACAGAGGGAAAAATAAACATAAATGAAGTTGTCGACAACCATAACCACTCGCCACTTGATAAAAAAATTCTTAATAGGAATGGATTGAGCAATTCCTTGCTTCAGAAGATTTACGTGAGAGACTTTTAACATTCATTCACCGAGAACTGAGAAAAAGAGATGTCGAAACATTGACTAATTGCGATGTCAAATGTATAAGAAGCAATATATACCACTCTCGAAGGAGCTTTCTACCAACACCACCAACAACTCAACAAGAAGTTCACAATGTTCTTAATTCCTATCCTCTCATTACAAATCGGAGCGAAACTTTTCTTCTTGTAAACGACGAAGAAAACAATATAATTATGTTCTTAACGAAAAAGAATTTAGAGTTCTTGTGTACTTTGAAATCCATATATGCGAATGGGACATTCATTTGCTGTACCAAATGTTTTCGTCAAATGTTCTCCATTCACGGATTAGCAGGTGACTATTATGTACCTGTAGTCTTATTCATGCTCTCAAACAAGTTAAAGAAAAGTTATATGTTGGCATTAATGTATGCAATACCAGAATATCAAAAGATTGGTAAAATATTGGGACCAACAACTGTAGTGGCAGATTTTGAAGAGGCAATCCACCAAAGTGTGCTAGAAACTTGGGAGTAGACACGTATGGTTGGATGTAGATTTCCATAGAGTCAATCAAGGTAAGATATTGATAAATATTTCAATGACTGGGATTATGATTTTTTCAGGGTTGCTTGAGAAATATCTCCGAAGTATCTAACCAAAAGATTACACTCGAACTCCTGGTACATATTGTGTTATAAGGCTGGTTTATAAAACATTTTTTAGAGCAAAATGGTCTTTATATAAGACCAATAAGACCATATAAGACCAAATTCTAAACAACTTTTCCCCTTAATTTTTTTTAATATAATAAAGAAAAATAAAATAATTCAGCTACATGAGATAATGAGCTTTTGGACATCATTCAGAGGGACCTAGAGAAGTTGGGACTCTACTCGAGATCACCGATGCTATCAGAGGTAAATAACTATTCAGATAGTATCGATATATTCCGTAGGTACTTCCATCAATAAAATTAGAACATTGTATTCGTCATTGTAAATTATTTTTGTTAGGTTTCCCTCTGCACTCATATTTTTGTTTTATAATTAAGTTTATAATTTGTACTTACTTGCTTTACTTCACATATTTTTTTTCCTGTTACACTGATTTGTGTAGGTAGCCTTTTTCTCTCATGGAGAGTTTTTTCAGTTCAATTATATGGCATTTGGATTATTCATGTAATTAATGTAAATTATTTTCTTGTTTTTGATTTGTTTTTTAATTTTTGTATCACCATTCATCCTGTAAGTGGCTATTGGCCGTAAATATATGTAAAATTTGTAATGAGATGTTTCCAAGAAAATATTGTTGATCAAATATCTAATCTAATATGTTAATTGCTTTGTAAAGTAAATATATAACTATTTTGTATTTTGAAATAAATAAATTGCTGGCTGCCGTCTTCTCTTATACAAACTCAAATTTCAAGATATCCTCACCGGCATCATTCTTACCTCATATTCTAAATCCTATCCTATAGCATTCCTAGCCCAGCGACTATGAAATTGGTTTCAGATCAATGCCCAAACTAATAGGGCTTATTAGTTCAGCTATTACACGATTTTCTAATAATAAAATGAAGTTTAGTTTTGTAAGCTCTGGATTTTAGTAGATGTGAAATTTAAATATATGTAATGAAGGTACGCGATACAAATAAAACAGTACTCGAGCAATGGAAATATAAAATACTTAAACTCTAATACCATCTGTATTATTTACTGGATAGGATATGTGCTATATTTGACATCGTGAAAATATGCTTAATTGAGCAAATTTGAAATGTAATAAATATTTTCGATGTTAATCAGACCATAAAAAGTTTGATTTTCTATCGTAATTTGACATACCTAACCTATGATTTAATAATTTGAATTATAAAAGAAATTGTTTTAAAAGAGAAGAATGTTGTGTTACAAGTTAGAATATTATTATTTACGAATGAACGTCATCATCCTATCCAATAGCACCTACCTATTGTAATATTTTAAAAATCATCTTTTAAAAATGTTATTTGAAGTAAATATAATTGTCGACGCGGTGACCTAAGAGGAAGAAACCTCCAAGGATCTAGCTGTAGCAGATAGGATTTGTAGTTATGATTCGAAAGTACGCGTATTCTCAAAAACTCTCGCGCCTGTTTATTTGAAATTTAAATTGACATCATAACCTAAAATTTCGTGTTTGTTGCTTTTTTGTGTAGGTATACTGTTGCAGACTTTGCAGTATTTTTTTTTTGTTTAATAGCAGATGTTTTGATTCGAACGCAAGTCCATTTTCATTAATTGGCATCGCATATATAAGTGGGGCAGGTTATTATTAGTTATTAGAGAATTTATAAACAGTGGCGGCGCGTCGGGGGGGCCAGGGGGTGCCCTGGCCCCCACTTTTTTTATAACCCATAAATATATATTTTTTTGTAAAACAATAAATATAGAATTAAACTAAATAAATGGACATGACAAAAATACAAAATACATAAATAAAACTTCTATTGTACTTCTTATTCTATGCCCGCCAGTCGCCACCAACACGTTGTTGCCTGAATCTTAGCACCGCGCGGCGTTAAAATGCGCGCGCAATTTCTGTGCATTGTGATGTAATATAATCATCGCTCATCATCGCCCTGCTACAAGCTACAAGTGCTACAACCGCTGACATGCAAGTGAACAGGTGAAACGATTTGTTTTTGTTTTGTTTTTATGAATTATGCAAATTGCAAATAAAGAAGTTTAATTAGAAGAACAGCTTTTTAACTAATGTAAGTATTACCCAAGAATTCTAGACTCTACTATAGGATTGATTAAAAGCAAAAGCCGAAATATTTCAGCCACAACAGAGCGGCCGCGTGACGTCACTGTGTTGGCTGATCATTGATTAATGGTTCTGAATAATTGCATTTATTTGTTATTTTGAAGAGCATAATTGATGAATATATTTTATTATTTTTTTACTGAGAGAGAGAGAGTGGTTTAATCTACAATCTTAGATATTTTTATAATAAAAATAACATACGGTTCAATCAAAAATACAAATTAAAAAAGTGAATTTTCAGGGTTTTAAAAGAAACGTAATATTTTTTCTAGGCAACTATTTATTTATTTTTTTAATTAAATACATGTTAACTGAATAAAAAAAAAATACATTTCTGATGCCTCGCCTGCATTAAAAACTGGTTGGTTGCAAAAAAATCCAAATTTGTGAATATTGTATTAGGTAATTTAAAATTTCTCAGTAATTATTTAAATAATTGAAATCATTTTTGGTTTCACCCTATTATACAATATAAATATATACTTTATTTAGGAGCGTACAGAAGTATTTTTTTTAATTTAATTTTAGATTTTTGACCAATTCACGCTCTTTCAGTGAGAAAAAATACAATTCATTATATTGTGCATTTTAAAATACAAATTCTCAAAACTCACTTATTCTGATTGTTTTGGCTGGGCAATAATTCTAAGGTGTAGGTATATGGAATATTTCATAAAAAATAACTCTGTAATAACCAACAAAAATAAATTTTATTTTTATTTTATTACAAAAAAAAAATAAATTAATAGGAAATTTAGGAAATAAATAAGACCTCTCTACTAAATAATTTTTTTTAATTTTTTTAACTTTTTTCTACTTTCATCAGTCATACATATCTGATTTTTATTTAACTATTGTAGTGAAGAAAATATGGCTAAAAAGCAGACTTGCTTGGATGGATTTTTTCGTCCAAAAATACCCCCTGCTCCTTCAGAAACCTCTTTGGAAGTGGAGAACTTGCAGAAAGAAACTGATAAAAAATCTAATTCTCATTCGGAAGATACAGGGGATGCATATTTTTTGGTGGAAAACCCCAATCTGCAAGCCGGTCCATCTCAGCCAAAAGAAGGATTTAAGTACACCACCATGGGAGATCGAAGAAGAAGCTTCCAGGTAAATTGGTATGATTCTTTTCGATGGCTTGAGTATAGTATTAGAGCAGATTCTGCATTCTGTTACTATTGCCGTCTTTTTGCTTCGGAAAGAAAAGGGTGTGCAGAGGAAACTTTTTTGAGGACTGGATTCAAAAATTGGAAAAAAGCTACAGAAAAGTTCAAAAAACACGGAAAGTCTTCATCACATAGGAAAGCTACTATATTTTTTCTGGAGAAAAAACCTGCTGGAGCAAGTGTGGCTTGTCAGATAGACATTTTTCATAAAGAATGTGTGAAAAAGAATAGAGAGTATCTTAACTTCATTTTTGAAACCATTTTGTTTTTGGAAAAACAGGGAATACCTTTAAGGGGACATAACGAAAGCGCAGATTCCAAAAATAGAGGAAATTTTCTGGAACTTTTGAATTTAAGATGTTCTGATAAAAATCTCAATTTCAAGGAGTTTATGCAATCAAAAATTTGCAACTATACATCAAATCAATCCCAAACGGAAATAATTTCCATGATTTCTGAATATATTATTAAGGATATAGTGAGTGAAATCAACAAATCCCAGTGCTACTCTATTATTGCAGATGAAACAACAGATGTTGCACACTTGGAGCAAGTGACAATAGGCTTTCGATATGTCAACATTCAGGACAATAAACCCATTATAAAGGAATGATTCCTTGGATTCATTGACTGTCCAGATACATCGGGGGAAGCACTATTCAAGTCAATTACAGAATACCTTACTAAAATTGGTGTTTCTTTAGACTACCTTAGGTTTCAGGCTTACGATGGTGGATCGAATATGAGCGGTAAATTCAATGGCTTGTCTGCTAAATTCAAAGAAGTGGAACCAAGAGCACTGTATGTTCACTGTCATGCTCACCTACTGGAACTAGCGGTTTCTAAATGCTGCGAAAATGTCAAACCACTAAGGGATACATTAGGAACCGTGAATACATTGTACAATATCATCGAGGCGTCAGCAAAACGACATGATATTTTTCAGAAAATGATCCTGGAAGTATGTCCCCAATCAAACAAAGGTTTTAAAAAGTCTTTCTCAAACAAGGTGGACCGCGCGGCACTCATCCGTCAATACATTACTGAAACTTTTTCCGGCTGTTATTAAAACTTAAAAGGTTGTCTCAAGTGACACAAACAACACAAAACTAGCAGCCGATGCCTCAGGAGCATTAAAAATTATTTTGAATGAGGAATTTTTGTTTAGTCTCTTGGTGCTAGAAATTATCCTGGGATTGGCCGTTATATTATCTAAAGAGTTACAGTCTCCACAACTCATTATCTCATCATTACTTCTAAAAGCAAAGGCGACTATAAAGTCCATTAAACATTATCGGGCCCAGGACCGATTTGATGAAATTCATAAAAAAATGAAAAGATTGTCTCTAGAAATTCAAGCTCTAGGCTTTGACGTAAAAGAAATTTCACTACCAAGACAACGGAAGCTTCCTAAGAAACTGGATGAGCGACCAGAAAATGCTTTTAATTTTTATACAGCTGAAGATTTCATGCGTACCAATATTTTATTTGCTGCTATCGACAATATGGTAGAAAATATGAGAATGAGATTCTCAGAAAATGACTATAAATTCATTGCATATATTGAGAATTGTCTTATGCTGAATAAAAACAATTTCAAGAAAGAAGAAGCAAACAAAATTAATGAATTTTACAAATTAACTGAAGACATGAATCAGCTCTATCGGGAATTAGAGATTTATAGGCAGTGTTTCTCCCCAAACGTTGAAAATAGCATAGAAGACTGTACTCAAAAATTCTTAGATAGCGATCTCAAAGTAATGTTACCATTAGTATGGAAACTTTTCCAAATCATATTAACATGCCCAGTAAGCACTGCTTCAGCTGAAAGATATTTCTCAACATTGAAAATTCTTAAAGACTATTTGAGGAATACTATGGGTGAAGAAAGACTAACTGGTTTAGCTTTAATGTACATTGAAAAAGATAATACCTTAAAAATGATGTCAAAAGAAGGACTGGATATTCTCACTGAACTGTTTGCTAGCCAGAAAGATAGGAGAATGATGTTCTATTAAAATAGTCTGTTAAGTACCTAAGTATAGTATAAGTAGCTTTAAGTATAATACTAAGTTTGTATCTCGTTTTTGCATATTATTAAAAATTTATGCGTACCTGTTTCTGTACCTACTTGTTTTTGTTTCTAGTGGTTCATTAAAATATTTTCGTTTTGTAAAAAAAATCTTCAGTTCATCCGTTGTATTATTTTATTGTTTTATTATCCACTTGAAAAAATATTATATTGAATGTTTATCTATTATTAAGCATACAGCAATGATTTTAATTACTTTTAATTATTCATTAAAATTGTGTCAGGAGAACGCGTGACCTTGACCTTAAAAAAAATTTTCGTCTGCGGCGCCTTTCCTGCCTTCGGCAGGCCCCCCCCCCCACTTTTTGAGGGCACGCGCCGCCACTGTTTATAAATAAATGATAAAATGGTATATAAAATGTTAAACACATTTATTAAGTATGTGGTCAAACTTTAAGGTGTTACTCAGTTTTAAGACAAAAAATTCATACAAATGTAGGTCCTAAACGGCTCAATTTTGAAAATACAGGTTGTTGAAAAGTTAAAAAAATCTGATGTGTCCAACACATGACTTTCCTATCAAGTTATTATAGGCTTTTCCCGGTTATTTTGTACAACCTATTGCAGCATCTCTATAAATGTTTAGAGGATAAACTAAATATATATATTGTCCACATACGTCTACCTCGAAACATTTTTCTATAGATATTCATTGAAAACGAAAATACTGAAAAATTTAAATTTAGCCCTTTTCCATTACGGTCCATTTTAGAAAAATCATGTATAAACAAAAATTATAGAGATCGATATCGCAAACAACTTTTAGTTCAACAATTTTCATAAAAATCAGAATTTTGCACATTTTGTCAAATTTCTCGAATACGGATCATTTCAGGAAATTTTGACATAAGGCAAAAATTATAGATAATAATAATAAAAGTAACTTTTATTGGAACAATTTTCTTCTCCAAACATAAATAACAGATATATTCCATAAAATATAAAAACGGCCTCCCATAAAGTACCCCCCCAGATGTTCCGACTTTGTCCAAAATCTAATCATTTCATGTCAGGCCGAAATAAATCTTAAATTTAAAATTTTATGTTTTTTCTTTATCCGTTTTTGAGTTTTCTTCAAAATTCTAAATTTACACATTTTCTCAAATATCTCGAATACGATCCATTTTAGAGAAATTATGTATAGAATAAAAATTATAGAGAATTATATTACAAACAACTTTTATTTAAACAATTTTTATAAAAAAATATTTTTTTTACATTTTGTCAAATTTCTCGAATACGGACCATTTTAGGAAAATTTTATATAGATAATAATATAAGAAGTAACTTTTATTTGAAGAATTTTCTTCCCCAAATGTAAATAACAGATATATTCCATAAAATATCAAAATGACTACCTATAAAGTACCCCCCCAGATGTTTCGACTCTGCCCAAAATCTAATCAGTTCATTAGACGCTGGAATAAAGCTTAAGTTTAAAATTTGGTGTTTTTCTGTGTATCGGTTCATGAGTTATGCGACATACAAACACACAGACACACAGACACACAGACACACAGACACACAGACACACAGACACACAGACACACAGACACACAGACACACACACACACACACACACACACACACACACACACACACACACACACACACACACACACACACACACACACACACACACACACACACTCACACACTCACACACTCACACACTCACACACACACACACACACACACACACACACACACACACACACACACACACACACACACACACACACACACACACATACACATACACACAACCAAACACATACACACAACCAAACACACACACACACACACACACACACACACACACACACACACACACACACACACACACACACACACACACACACATCATCGCGAAAATAGTCAAAACGGATTTAGGGGACTCAAAACGTAAAAATCCGTTGAAAACTCGAGGTCGAAAAAAATCATGATTCCTATACTTTCCTTATATCTGTATACAGATAGGAAAGTAAAAATTATAAATTGAATTTACCGCCATCTGTCAATTGTCATTTTAGTTCCTCCAAGGTGGCGCTAATGTGGTTTAAAAGTCTACCATTGGCGTGGGGTCTCTAGAAGATACGTGCTTTGTGGGTGTAATTACCTGAAGAAACGGCCGTGGCTATTGAACTAATCAAACTTTGTGGATTCATAACTGACTCGAAATCCGTATTTTAGAGAAAAGACAATATTTCAATTTAGTGTTAATCTACGGGATATTTATTTATCTAAATATTTCCAATGTTAATTTTTATTAATAAAGTTATTAGAAGTTAATTAATTTTTAATTTTATAATTCCTGATGTACATGATAGTAGTCACAACTAAAATATTGCCAAATGTGATTTACTGAATTAAGACAATACCTTATACAATTAAGGGCAAGTTCAATGACAAGTGACGGCGACTTTTTTATCACAAGAAATACAGCTCTGAACGATAATATTTTAAAAAACTGTTTTCATAAATGGGTTCAAAAAACTGTAAAAAATGATGGAAAGTCTATGGTTTGTTTTACTTTTAATGCATAATATTTTAATAAGTGATATTTAACAAATATTTAAAAGTTATGGACTTTCCATCATTTTTTATAGTATTTAGAAGTTAAAACGCAACATACATTCTTTTATTTTTGCCTAATTATTTCAGGATTCTTGTGATAAGATTTAAAAGTGTACGGCCCATAAGATGCTGCCATCTGAACAGACGGAATAGACACTAAAAATTGAAAAATTGCAACATCGCTCCATATGCAGACGAATGTAAAATGGCTTAGCCCAATTTGACCATGTTTATTGGTGAGGGGCGAGGTGGTGTGCGGGGAAAGGTTGCAAGTAAATAAATTATTTTATAAATGCTATTTTCTGTTTGGAACACAACACAAGCATGTTTGTTTTGAAAGTTTGACGTTTATGGTTTGACGTGTCATTTCAATTTAATAGACTTTAATAATTTAAAAGATGCAATGTACTTATATTATTTATATATATTATTGTAGATCCAGGTATGTTTTCGGTTTTTATTTTATTTTTATTCTATTTATTTATTTGGCTAGTTTGCTAATATCACAATATTCAAATTTAGTAAAAAATAATGTAATAATATAACAATTATTTTAATAACATTCTAAATAGGAAATGTAATTTAACTGCAATTGTTTTGATAACAGTATTTGCATATGGTCTGTGAATTTCATCTGTTTCCGAATAATTACCCTTAAATATTTGAATTTTTCTACTAACTGTATAGATTTTCTTCCAATTTCCTATATTGTTTGTCCACAAACTGCATATAGTTATTACTTATCAGCTTATATTTTGTTTTAGGTATTTGTGTTGATTTTTAACAAATGATTGCAACATCATTTATAAACATTTTGCAGAGTTTCATTGACAATTAACTCTTAGTTATCTGAATCCTTACAACTTACAAGAAACATAGATAAGGACATCATAGGCAAACAGGTAAATGTCATATTAATTATTGCAACATTAACAATCATTAATATAAATTAAAAATAACAGGGGACCTAATTTTCTTCCTTTGATGTGGTTAATTTCTTCTGATCAGAACAGTGATTCTTTTGTGCCAACTCGACACATTACATACAGAATAGAGAGAGACATTACATCAAAATCGCTGTCTGTCGAACAAAGATAGGAGTCTCGATAGGAGACATACTCAAAAGATGAGAATCCCACTACATATGTTATTTAATTCTAATCTCTCTGACCTGATAATTAGATAATCTACATGCTACCCCAATGCATGCTTTATAGCATAGATATAAAAACCACCTTTATTCCAATTCTATTTAATTTTTTTATCGAATGATTTTGATCAACAGAATCAAGTGCATTTTAAAGAAATACAATTAATTTTGAATTGTACATATATGGCGGATTTTACAATGGGCAGTTAAAATGTAGACTTAGTTTAAACTGTGAACCTTGTTGTATACTCATCGGTTATTGTTAAATATAGTTTTAAAAATGACATTTGTTTTTGAATATAACTAGTTAAAAATGAAACTCTTGTTAGTTAAAATATGTTTAGAATATTTTTTGTACATACATAATGTATTTTGTAATAATTAAATACCATAATATTCTTGTAAGGAAGTTGGAATGCTTAGGGTTTGATCAGTCGCTGTTGAGATTATTTTCATCTTACCTAAATCATCGTTTTTATTATGTCTTTTACAACGGATTTTCATCTTCGCCCCTCACAGCAACATCTGGAGTTCCACAGAGCTCCAATCTGGGACCACTATTATTTAGTATATTTATAAATGACTTGGCAATAAATTTAACCTGCTGTTCGCTGCTGACTTAAAAATATTTACCTCAATCTCATCAATTCAAGACTGTTACTTTTTACAGACCCAACTTGGGAATCGTTGAAAATTGGTGTAATGAAAACAAGCTGAATGAATGTGTCTAAATGTGAAGTATGTTCCTATACTAGAAGTATTATATATCTATAAGTTCTTGTAGCTTTGACAATAAACATATATTGATTGATTAACAAGGTGGAGTTTGATTATTTATTTAACAGCCTACATTTATCGGACTTGTGCACAAATTGAAGATTAACGTATATTATTCAACCAAAAAGTTACTTTTTCGGATTATATTGAAAATACAGTTGCTTCTGCGTTGAAAAGCTTAGGGTTCTTAATTCGTAATACTCGTTCTTTTACAAACTCTTAAAGCTTGGAGATCCTTTACTTTTCTTTAGTTCGTTCCAGGCTAGAATATGCATCTCTTATCTGGAACCTTATTTACAATATTCATAAAAGATCATTGGAAAATGTTCAGCGGCGATCTCTCAAGTACCTTTCTTTTAAAATAGATGAGCTGTATCCCATTCGAGGTATTGAAGAATCTCTGCTTCTTTCGAAAATAGAAG